GTTAAGCTTGAGGGAAATGAAATGGAAGTTGACTGATGTTGGCAGGATGCGGTTGACAGATCAAAAGCATTGCCTCTGAATACCAAGTGTATTTGGCCATACCCATGAGTAGGTCTGTGGGACATGGTGGTGCTGCGAGTTAAACCACAGAAGCCTCTGTGCTACAAAGTCAGAAGACCAGCAGTCGAAAGATCAAATCCACAGGACAGAGTGAGCTCCCATCACTTGTCTCAGCTCCTGCCAACCTAGGAGTTTGAAAGCATGTAAAAATGTGAGTAGATAAATAGGTACCACCTTGGTAGGAAGGTAACTGCATTCCATGTCTAGTTGCGTTGGCCACGTGACCACGGAAACTGTCTTCAGACAAACGCTGGCTCTATGGCTCGGAAACGGGGATAAGCTCTATGCCCAAGAGTCGGACACAACTGGACTAAATGTCAAGGGGAACCTTTACCTTTCGTCATCGTCGTCTAGTCGTGTCCGACTCTTAGTGACCCTGTGGAGCAGAGCACGCCAGGCCCTCCTGTGTCATCGTCGTCTAGTCATGTCCGACTCTTAGTGACCCTGTGGACCAGAGCACGCCAGGCCCTCCTGTCTTCCACTGCCTCCCGGAGTTGTGTCAAATTCATGTTGGTTGCTTCGATGACACTGTCCAATCATCCCATCCTCTGTCGTCCCCTTCTCCTCTTGCTGTCACACTTTCCTAACATCAAGGCCTTTACCTTTACCTATGAGTAAGTCTAATGAATGTTAATAATGTGAATCACAGAAAGAAGCATTTTATAAAAATGGTCATGTATATTTAAATCAGTGGTTTGGGTATCTGGCTGTGGAGGCAGAGCATCAAAAGTATTCTGGAACAAACAATCAATAAAAATATAAAGCAGGAGCAATAATAGCCGCCCAGAGTGGTCAATTGACCAGATGGGTGGGATATAAATAAATAAATAAATAAGTACATACGATTGTTTAAAAGATTTTATGTTAATTTGAAAGCAAACTGAAGCCAGCCAGAACTCAATGGGAAACTGAGAGTAATAAATCCACTGAGTTACATTTGGATAACTTAAATTTTCTTGTGCATGCCTCATCCAGGGATAAAGGTAAGTGGAAGCATTCATCATGAAAATCCCTATAGTTATGTGCCCAAGCAAGCACCAAAACTATATTGATCCATATCAACAAACCAGCATTCATTTCTGCTAGCAGCAGCTCTTTTGTGAAGCGAATGGGTCAAATGCCCTGGCAATCCCCAACTACTCTGAATTAAAAGATGAACAGCTTACAACAATATGTGGTTGCTTGGAAAACCCCACAACAGACACCCAATTTAGGACTGCAACTAAGCTCTAGTGTGGCAGGAATGCGTGAAGGAGTGGCAGATGATGCCACGATCTCTATTAATCAGTCTCAGTGCTCCAGTAGTGTGAACCCTGGCACTTACTATATTGTTGTGCCTTGTACAATATGCATTTCTACTCTGTTTGAAGTTGGCAGTGTTTTCTAACACCAAACACATTTCTACTAAGTGTGTGCCAGTAGATGGAAAGATGAACCTAGGAAATGAGTTTTCCAGGAAAGAGACTGAGAAAGATTTCTAAGAACAGGGAAAGGCAGGTTGAACACTATATGAAATGGCTGATGGGTGGGTTACAGAAATACTTCTTTTTCCCACTGTTCTGGTAGTCAATACAAAAGCATATGCAAAAATATCACCTATTAGACTTTATAACAAGTCCTCTGCAGCCACAAGTACTGGAAAAAAACACACACAAAAAAATACAAACCTGAGATTCGTTAGATTGTTCACAAACCACTGGGTTGACAAGAAATGGAGTATTCTACACTCCTTCACGTATACAGATTTGTGCAGCCTTTCAGCATGTCTATCCATACCAGACTTCCTGATAATATTTTCCTTTGGATCAATGAGAAAATAATCACCTGGAAAGTTTGTGCACAGCAAAGGAAGACACCTCATTTTCCAGAACATGATTCACAGGTGCTTGGGAAGGTGTGTTCAGACTCATTTTGGGAACTGCTTTGCTATCGAATAAGTACTGTTCATCATCTGAGTAATCTGATTCATCACAGCTCTGGTCATCCAATACAGGCATCCTGAAAAACATGGTTAATTCAGTTTCAGTTATTTGGATAATAGTCAACCAGGTAGGCCCATTTGTAAGTACTATTGCTAATGACATAGTTTTAGGATCTGTGAGGCTTGTCTTACTCTTTGCTCAGCATTAACATAGACATTATTTCATTTATTCAGTGTTCAGATCTAAATCAGATCACTGCACTGAGGTCTCTTAGGACCAAACATGACAGCAGTGGGCATATTTGCTTAATGACACACCCATTCATATCTAGGGCATACCTTGTGGCATTAGAGGCGAGGAGGAATCTAAACCAGATGACTTGGTGGGGTGGGAAGGTGGAAATAACCACTCTTTTTCATATCTACTTTACTTCATTGTCAGGGGTCCCTGATAGGCCCCCACCTCAGATATCCAGGTGAGACCCTCAGAGCCAGCAGTCATTGGTTCCAAGATGGCCAAGAAACAGGAGTGCATGTTCTGGGAGGGAGAGGAGTAAGAACGGCACGGGGAAGAGGAGAACAAAGCCTCTCTGCAGGTGGGGAAGGTATAAAGGAGGCATTGGAGAGTGAGGAGAGTGACGAGTGAGAGTGAAGGAAGCACGTCACAGGACTAACTGTTGGACTCTGATGAAGACCAAGTCTGGTGCAATGTACAGATGCTCACAATAGGGAGGAAGCCTCCAGAGCTGGAGAGTGGCCAGGACTATATACATGGTAAGGATGCCTGGGCATGGCTCCTGGTCCAGTTCTACATCTGGGAAATGGACCAGAATGCCTGAGTGCCCCCCCCTGTTGTAATGCTGAGACCACCACTGCCAGTCAGAGCCAGGCCAAGGGGGCCCCATACTGATGCAGCAGTGACTCTGGAGAAAGAGCAGAAGGCTCACCTACAGCACTTCCAACAGCAGCTGCCTCCCCGCAACAAGGCCGTTGTGTCCTGTGCCTTGCTCTCACTGCAGTCACGGTTTCCCCTCCTTCTGGCCACTGAAGGAGACCAGAGTCCTGTGAGCCCCAGTCAAGTCAACCCATGGCTTGAAAATGGCTGAGACTATGCAGGGACAAAGGGCAACAAATTTGCTCTCAGGACACATGGCAGGGGTAAAGCAAACACCTGTTGTTGTTGCTTATTCCTCAGAACACTGTGGGACCATGTGGAGTGAAGGGCCAGAGGCATGGAGGAGGACTTGCCCATTCATCCCGCCAAGAGTGGAAGTGGCAGAGCTCACAATCATTGATTTTTCCCCACTCTTCAGTGAGAAAAACATTCCTAATACATAGGAAATAAAACCAAGACTAGAGAAAACAGTAAAATAAAAACATGTATTCACGAAGGCTTTCACGGCTGGGATCTAATGGTTGTGAGTTTTTCCGGCTCTTTGGCCATGTTCTGAAGGTTGTTCTTCCTGACGTTTCGCCAGTCTCTGTGGCCGGCATCTTCAGAGGACAGCGTCAACCAGAGCACAGAGTGCTGTCCTCTGAAGATGCCGGCCACAGAGACTGGCGAAACGTCAGGAAGAACAACCTTCAGAACATGGCCAAAGAGCCGGAAAAACTCACAACCATTAGATCCCAGCCGTGAAAGCCTTCGTGAATACATGTTTTTATTTTACTGTTTTCTCTAGTCTTGGTTTTATTTCCTATGTATTAGGAATGTTTTTCTCACTGAAGAGTGGGGAAAAATCAATGATTGTGAGCTCTGCCACTTCCACTCTTGGCGGGATGAATGGGCAAGTCCTCCTCCATGCCTCTGGCCCTTCACTCCACATGGTCCCACAGTGTTCTGAGGAATAAGCAACAACAACAGGTGTTTGCTTTACCCCTGCCATGTGTCCTGAGAGCAAATTTGTTGCCCTTTGTCCCTGCATAGTCTCAGCCATTTTCAAGCCATGGGTTGACTTGACTGGGGCTCACAGGACTCTGGTCTCCTTCAGTGGCCAGAAGGAGGGGAAACCGTGACTGCAGTGAGAGCAAGGCACAGGACACAACGGCCTTGTTGCGGGGAGGCAGCTGCTGTTGGAAGTGCTGTAGGTGAGCCTTCTGCTCTTTCTCCAGAGTCACTGCTGCATCAGTATGGGGCCCCCTTGGCCTGGCTCTGACTGGCAGTGGTGGTCTCAGCATTACAACAGGGGGGGGCACTCAGGCATTCTGGTCCATTTCCCAGATGTAGAACTGGACCAGGAGCCATGCCCAGGCATCCTTACCATGTATATAGTCCTGGCCACTCTCCAGCTCTGGAGGCTTCCTCCCTATTGTGAGCATCTGTACATTGCACCAGACTTGGTCTTCATCAGAGTCCAACAGTTAGTCCTGTGACGTGCTTCCTTCACTCTCACTCGTCACTCTCCTCACTCTCCAATGCCTCCTTTATACCTTCCCCACCTGCAGAGAGGCTTTGTTCTCCTCTTCCCCGTGCCGTTCTTACTCCTCTCCCTCCCAGAACATGCACTCCTGTTTCTTGGCCATCTTGGAACCAATGACTGCTGGCTCTGAGGGTCTCACCTGGATATCTGAGGTGGGGGCCTATCAGGGACCTCTGACAATGAAGTAAAGTAGATATGAAAAAGAGTGGTTATTTCCACCTTCCCACCCCACCAAGTCATCTGGTTTAGATTCCTCCTCGCCTCTAATGCCACAAGGTATGCCCTAGATATGAATGGGTGTGTCATTAAGCAAATATGCCCACTGCTGTCATGTTTGGTCCTAAGAGACCTCAGTGCAGTGATCTGATTTAGATCTGAACACTGAATAAATGAAATAATGTCTATGTTAATGCTGAGCAAAGAGTAAGACAAGCCTCACAGATCCTAAAACTATGTCATTAGCAATAGTACTTACAAATGGGCCTACCTGGTTGACTATTATCCAAATAACTGAAACTGAATTAACCATGTTTTTCAGGATGCCTGTATTGGATGACCAGAGCTGTGATGAATCAGATTACTCAGATGATGAACAGTACTTATTCGATAGCAAAGCAGTTCCCAAAATGAGTCTGAACACACCTTCCCAAGCACCTGTGAATCATGTTCTGGAAAATGAGGTGTCTTCCTTTGCTGTGCACAAACTTTCCAGGTGATTATTTTCTCATTGATCCAAAGGAAAATATTATCAGGAAGTCTGGTATGGATAGACATGCTGAAAGGCTACACAAATCTGTATACGTGAAGGAGTGTAGAATACTCAATTTCTTGTCAACCCAGTGGTTTGTGAACAATCTAACGAATCTCAGGTTTGTATTTTTTTGTGTGTGTTTTTTTCCAGTACTTGTGGCTGCAGAGGACTTGTTATAAAGTCTAATAGGTGATATTTTTGCATATGCTTTTGTATTGACTACCAGAACAGTGGGAAAAAGAAGTATTTCTGTAACCCACCCATCAGCCATTTCATATAGTGTTCAACCTGCCTTTCCCTATTCTTAGAAATCTTTCTCAGTCTCTTTCCTGGAAAACTCATTTCCTAGGTTCATCTTTCCATCTACTGGCACACACTTAGTAGAAATGTGTTTGGTGTTAGAAAACACTGCCAACTTCAAACAGAGTAGAAATGCATATTGTACAAGGCACAACAATATAGTAAGTGCCAGGGTTCACACTACTGGAGCACTGAGACTGATTAATAGAGATCGTGGCATCATCTGCCACTCCTTCACGCATTCCTGCCACACTAGAGCTTAGTTCCAGTCCTAAATTGGGTGTCTGTTGTGGGGTTTTCCAAGCAACCACATATTGTTGTAAGCTGTTCATCTTTTAATTCAGAGTAGTTGGGGATTGCCAGGGCATTTGACCCATTCGCTTCACAAAAGAGCTGCTGCTAGCAGAAATGAATGCTGGTTTGTTGATATGGATCAATATAGTTTTGGTGCTTGCTTGGGCGCATAGCTATAGGGATTTTCATGATGAATGCTTGCACTTACCTCTATCCCTGGATGAGGCATGCACAAGAAAATTTAAGTTATCCAAATGTAACTCAGTGGATTTATTACTCTCAGTTTCCCATTGAGTTCTGGCTGGCTTCAGTTTGCTTTCAAATTAACATAAAATCTTTTAAACAATCGTATGTATTTATTTATTTATTTATTTATATCCCACCCATCTGGTCTTGCGACCACTCTAGGTCCCTCATAAGAATTTAAATACACAGCTTTGTGTTTGTAAAAATGAAACAAGTTATATTGCATACATTCAATGTAGCAATTTGCGCACAACAATTAAATGCTGAGGAAAAATTTTTATATTTGTAAAAATACTGATATTCATAAAGCCTCAGGTAAATAAATGTCTCAAGTGAATTTCAGAAGATCAGTGGGATCCTGAAAAAATAATTGTGTTCCTTAATATAATCTGCTACTTACACGAGAATGATTTAAAAAATGACTCCAACTTGGTTTTGGCCATTCTTATTCTTCCTGTCTTTCTCAACTTCTTAAGTGTTCCAAAATAGGTTTTTAAATTCCCCTTCCCATGCTTCTGTCCTAATATACCTGTTCCACTCAGAAAGGATGTGAGATCATACAAACATGCCACTAAGGTGGATATATTGCATTTCAGAGAAATCACACTGTTTATGTTATTTCTTGCCACAAGAGAAGCATCCTTAAAAATAGTTAGACTGCTTGTTCTTGTTAAAACGTTATGGAATTTGCAGCTACAATAATTTTGTTCCTGCTCTTCTTCCTCCTCCTAGGTACGGCTTTGATAGTGAGCGTTGCCGAGCAGTGCTGAGATCTCATCACGGTAACATTGGGGCTTCCTTGGAGCATTTGCTATTTCAGTGCTTCTCAGAAAAATTTGCAGAAAGGATGGAGATCACAGAAAATGCCACTCTGGCAAGTACTGACAACTGTTTGGAACAAAGGCAAGAAGAGGCTTTTGCCCTCCGTTCCATCTGTGGAGAGAAATTTGTGGAAAGAATTCAGAACCGAGTTTGGACTATTACATTAAACTTGGCGTACTTGACAGAGATTGTCAGCAAGCCCAAGCGAGGGCAAAACACTACCAGCAATGGTTCAAACCCAGCTTCCCAGGAAATCTGTAAACATTACCTCCAAGGAGATTGCAGGTTTGGATTAAGATGCAAATTCAAGCATGAGCGTCCACACAAACAAAAAACACTTCCAAGCGTTAGAGAAGATGCTCATCTTAGACTTAATGGTGATAATGCTCCCATTTATGAACTTGAAATAAGATTTCCGGAGGGTAACAAATACCCTTACCAGCCTCCTCTTGTTGCATTTTATTCGACTAATGAGAACCTGCCCTTGGCCTGTCGACTCCACATTGCTGAATTCCTTTATGAAAAAGCCTTGATATCCTCTGAGTGTAATGAACCAGTTGTCTATTCTTTTATAACATGCTTGGAAGATGAAGATGAAGTAATGAAACTGCTTAGTAAGACGTCCCACAAATATAGTGCTCCTCCTCTAGCTTTGAGGATGTCCTCAGGCAGAAGACAAGAAAATGTTGATGAGCGAGGGTTGCCTAATAGAACATCTGTTCTGTCACAAATGTCAGAAGGTATGTATCAATTCTGTAAATCCTTGTCAAAGATAGTGTCGTTTGAATGTTAGAAGGAGACCATGTCTGCAGTTTTGAGCACCTTTCTTCTCTGCCGCTAACATTGTAGAAGTCAGTTTCAGAGAACGTTGTGTCCTCCAGTGCTCAGACTAAACTATTGCACAGGTACCTCTTCCTGTTAAGGAGTGCTGTATTAGAAATCTCTTTGCCAAAGAAAATTGAAAGGTAGCAGAATATCATTTTCTATGAAAACAGTGAAGGCTCTTGTCAGAGATTTAAAAGCTAACAAGTTTATTGGCATGTGCTCTAACCACAGCATAGAGCACATGCTTAGAATGCAAAAGTTCCAGCATGAAGTGTTTGGCTTTGTCATCCAGGCGTAGGAAAGCTCCTATATAGTTTTTGAGATGCATCTGACAAAGCACTTAGGCAGCTGAAAAAAGTGTGTTAAAAAAACAGACATGGTTATACAGTGGTGCCTCGCTTAACAACGTTAATTCGTTCCAGCGAAATCGCTGTAGAGCAAAAACGTCATAAAGCAAAATTAAAAAACCCATTGAAATGCATTAAAACCCGGTTAATGCGTTCCTATGGGCTAAAAACTCACCATCCAGCGAAGATCCTCCATACAGCAGCCATTTTCAGTGCCTGTATAGCGAAGAATCCGTCCCTAAGCACAGCGGGGAGCCATTTTGAGCACCCGGCAGCCATTTTGAAACCCGACGATCAGCTGTTTTGATCATCGTAATGCGAAGAATCGGTTCTCAAGGCAGGGGACCGATCTTTACAAAGTGAAAAAACCCCATTTAGACCATCGTTTTGCAATCGCAAAAACATCGTCGTGAAGCGGATTTGTTGTAATGCGGGGTAATCGTTAAGTGGGGCATGACTGTATTTGTCACTCATCTAATAGAGGGCATACCCTTGTCTATTGAACCAAAATGGCATATGCCATAGGGAGTGTCCTGTGTTGTAGTTATACCGTTCATATT